GAAGAAAGATATCATAGCGGTCGCTTCCTATACATTCAACTCTACGGAACAGAACTGGTCCACGACGGAAAGAGAGGCATATGCAATAAAGTGGGCAATATTGAAATTTGATTATTTCCTTCATAACCGCCCTTCGTCATCTTCACCGACCACAGATCGCTGACATATCTGGACCAACGAGAGTTCAATAATGCCAAAATACGACGATGGCAAGCAGAAATTTCATGTTATAAATTTGTCTTGGAATATGTTGAAGGCAAATCAAATGTATGGGCTGACATGCTCAGCAGAGGCACATAAGAAAACAAAAGCCCTGAACGACCCTACACCGGCAGGCAGGACATTCGAGGTAAGCGGTTCAGACCTCTGCGTGATACATTCCATCTTGGTGCCTCGGCGAGTTTAACGGTTTACAGCTCATTCCCAAAGCTCACACACCACAAAAACGCCCGCACCCACAGGCGTCCACCAACGCATTTTTAAGCCTATCACCCACCACCACCATCCCCACTGAGAGAATCTGCAACCACCTCGCATCGCAGATGAACAACTGAAGGACGATGCCCTGGCAAAGATCATCAGCGCCCTCCAGACACCCACCCCAAGCGAACCTCATATCGATCCTGACGACCACCAAGCTACGCTTTTCAAAAAACATTTCCACCAATTTTTTCTAGAACCAGGCACCTCCGTTTTGATGATAAGAGACAGTAAACACTCTCCGAGATTGGTTGTACCATACAGACTACGACCCAGATACCTCTACCAGGCACACGAGGGCAACAACCACTCAGGTGTCACCTGTATGCAAGAACTCCTTTCCAGCTACTGGTGGGAATTCAAAAACCGCGACATCAAGGCCTATGTCGATTCTTGCGACATGTGTGCTAAGTGCAAGGGAAACTACAGTAGACATACCCACTGGCCCATTGGCCACTGCAAACGAGGAAAGAGACCATTCGATCTCGTCTTTATAGACTTTGTCACAATGCCCAACTCAAAGGAAAACGCTACATCCTAACCATCTTGGATAGCTTCAGCCGACATTTTACAGCCATACCATGCGAGAGACCGTATATCGACGCCGCCAGCGGATTGTACCATTTCTTCCTTCACACAGAGAGATTCCACGCATAGTATCCTCTGATCGAGGCACACACTTCACTGGAGAAGTCTATCGACAATTCTGTAACCAGATGTCAATCACGCAAGAACTTCACTGTCCTTGGCGCCCGCAAAGCTCAGGAAATATCGAGACAACATCGCATTTGATGAAGAAAGCACTTTATATGTTATGCAAAGACAGGAACTGTGAATGGACAGACGTTCTAGAATCTGTCGTTTCGTCCATGAATGCCAACAGCGCCACCGGTGTCTCCCCGCACTATGCCATTACCAGCCGTCACCCCAACATCGGCCTACCTACACTACACAGAAAAGAAATCACAAGCGACGATCCTGGAGCATATGGAATGCAAATTAATGCCCTGCTAAAGCAGGTTCACCACCACATCACCCTGGCCAACAATGAAGCTGACCACAAACTTGAGACTAACTTAAATCGCCTCACATACGAGGACCCAATACAATTAGGCGACAAGGTTTTACTTCATCGGCCACACTCAACTGTTGCCCAATCCTCTCATCTGCCCTGGATAGGAAATTACACAATTATAAAAACGAACAATATGATGTGTCAGGTGCAAAACGATGATGGTGATACAATCTGGATTCACCGTGCACATATCCTACAACTGGCTCCACGCCCAACACATCTTTCTAATACAATCCCTCTGCCTCCACCATGTAACTGTCACCAGGATCATTCTCCTCTACATCCCTCGGGGACACATAACTCAGCAAATAACCCCATACCAAAACAGATGCCAATAAGAAGAACACGAGGACAACTTCCCACACGCTTCAGAGACTTTATCATGACTTAATCACCCAAATCAGCCCTGTCACAAAATGACCATTAACTTTCTTTACAAATGTTTCCGACACACGTGTTCCGGTCGAAAAATAAAATAATAATTAAAGTGCTCTATTTTTCGTCCAATAAAAATGCTTCCCTCCTAATTATACTCGCTTCATTTCTCGAGCCTGTTAAGCCATAAAAAACACTATAAAAGGGGTCACAGGGAAGTTCAGCGGCAGTCAACAGGTGGCCACAAAGGAGACCGGTCACGTTCAGCAGCTGTCAACAGGAGAGCATCAACCACCGTCAACATGTATGAACTACTATGAGAGATCGACCAGATCCGAAAGCCGGCTTATGAACTTTACCACACCAAGGTAGCTGTCCTAAACCCTTACATTCCTGTTGAAATAAACCATGTAAATCTATTTCTACTGTTGTCGTATTTCTTTCTTGCAACCATACGCTTGTCTATAACAACATTATGGTTCAGATCATGTCCAACTAGTATTATACTGTCCCACATATTATATAACAAGCTGAATTCAAATTGTAACAGGTCAATATAAATGTAAACAAAAAAAAATGTGAATGGCCACTTAGAAAATTGCTAATCTACAAGGGAAGTAACTTTAAAAATTGAATTCTTAGAACATAAATTAACAATGTGCAATTACTTAGAATTTATCAGACGTTATTTCAATTCCCTACACGTTTTCAACACTAAAAATAAAATGAATATTTACACATTTTTTTTTTACTAATCCAAGAATTAAATGGCTGTGAGTTACCTCATTTTTATGACTTTCAGTTGCATATACAGCCCATTTTGCAAATGAACATTATTAGGTAAATTTTCTACCTCATAGTCCATTGCATTAAATTATAAAGTTTCTTGTGATATCTTGTTTAACAAAATTGGTTAACAAATGTGTTGCATTTGGCTGTTCTAGTGGATATGTTACTAATAGTGAAAAAGTATCGACATTTCCTTTTCCTCTTGGAAAATCTGACCGTGTAGAAAAATGAATAAAATTCCTTAATCACTGGTTTCTTACAAAAAATTCAGTTCTCTGTATGAAACATTTTGAAGAGAAATTTATTTTAAAATTATTCCTTTTAAAATAAATTGAAACAAATTGAATTGGGATTTACATCCAATGCCTACAATACATTCAGAAAAAATAACAAAACAGTCTCTTTTGCTGAATATGAGAGAATTCAGAAAGCCTCTAAAACAAAGACTGGTCCAAAGTGATGAATTACATGATTTTATTTCAGCTGATACAATAAAGGATTTTACTCAGCTGGAAGAAGCAAAGTCTTGTCCTAAAGATTTTGAATTTAAAAAAAGGAGGATTATATTTTAATTTATGGAATAGTCTTTGACCCTGAAACACATTTTACATCTATAAAAGAATGTATTTGCATTGACCAAAACCTTCACATGTGCTATATGTCTCAACAAGCCTACAAATTACTTTTGGAGAAATTTCCATTACCATCTTTATTATTGAAAATTTTAAAAAAATGAATTAAACATTTTCAATGTGAAATGTGTTCCCTAGTCATGCTATGATGGTGATTATGCTAATGAGAATCAGTTCATTGACTTACTTTCTTGAGGAGGTCTTACAGTTTCATCTAACCAAATGGCAGAGTTCGTTTGTGCTTGTTTTCCTATATTTGAGTATGCAGATAAATTTATTGTAAAACATAATGAATCCACTACAAGTGAGTCTGCTGAAAGAATTTTGGAAACTTATTCTCCAAAATATGTTTTTACTTGTGAACAAAACACTTATAAAAGAATTCACTTTGCAGCAAAAATTGTTGTGAATGTGTTTTACAACAAATGAAAGTTTTCATCAGTTTGAAAAATATTGTAGAATGTTTTAAAAAATGCAAAGGTCAAAAGAAAATAGATTTATAGAGAAACTCTTGGTAATTTTTTTTTTTACTTGTATTTGTTTTGTATTACTGCTTAATACTTTAATAACTTTTTTGTTGGTTTACAATCTTTTATTATTATTTTCTGTTTAAAGAAAGAAAAAACAACCTGTTTGTGCATTTTTTGGATGGTTTTAACATGTTTTAGATAAAACATAAATTGACTATAAACCAAATAGGCCTGTTAGAAATTAGCCTGAAATGTGACATGTAGAGCCATTTATATTTGTGGGCCATGTTCAGATATAGCATATATTAGGGAACAGAGCTGAATATAGATTCTTGGAGGTGACAGGACTGTGTTCTGCATTGAGGTCAGCCAGTTGTAAAATCTGCTTGCAAATGATATGCTCTTTTGAATTGAGGTCTTACAATTATACTAATTGTCCTGTGTTTATTTGAATCCACATTTTTGTATAAAAAGTATGACCAAAAAGAAAACCCTTTTTTTCAGAGTTAAAATCTAAATTAGTAAGTAGTGAAGAATTTTGCCAACAACATTTGAAGATGAAAAAAAGAACTATGTTTGTATATTTGTTATTTTTGCTGTCTCATTGTGTGAAGATGAATTTGTTGGAAATAACAAATCAGAAATATCTTTATTCACTGACTTCAGTATGCATCAAGTATTTTCTTATGAAAAGCAAGACAAGGAATTAGTTCGAACTAACCAAAATACTATAAATAATATTTTATTATAATATAACATTTTAAAATTCCATTTCAATTGAATACTAAAAAAGCTTGTTGGCTATCTTGCTTTCAGTGTTTCATTTGGCACTCTCTCTAGTTTTTCTTAACTGAGGTATCTGATAATCTTGCAAGAATTTTCAAACATCTTTATTTCTCTCGAGAATGCATAACATAGCACATTTTCTTTACATAAGCTTATAAATAAAAACATTTTGTTAAAAAGTAATCCATTAGTTATTTGATGTAGAATTAACTTGATAGCTATAATCCATATTGTCATAAGGAAGATATAATTTTGAACAATATTGTTTTTATCTACAAAAGTAATTACATTTCTGTTGAGACTTTGTTGATACTTACATTGTTTACCACTACCCTCCCCACTGATTTAATAATTTTTTAATAATATATTCTCTTTTCTTCTTTTTTTTTTCAGAATCACTGATAAATGCCTCTATAGCATTTGTACATGCTACAGAACATTTTCATAATCAATACATGCCAAGTATAAATATAGCTAAGTAAGTAGTGTATGTTTATTTAACTCTTTCTTTAACAATATATATAAAGCTGTTGCTATTACTAGCTAAAAACCTGTCCTATGTACAGGATTTTAAGCTAATCTCTGTCAAGATTAAATGTAGCCAATGACACCATTAAGAAATGACACTGATATTCATAGAACTTAAAACGATTACTTGGTTACTTATTTTAGTGCATCATTTTATTTACAGGTACTACCACTTGACACAGACAAATTAGTCATAAATAATCATCAATACCTTTTTATACTCACCTCATTATTGCCAACTAAGACAGTTTTTACATTTATATAAGTAGCAAGGTAATTGTTCTAAGTAACACTGTTAATCAAAATAAGTGTTGTTTAATTTGCTGTAATAAATAAATAAAATTTATGATTTCTTAAGAAATCATAAATTTTATTTATTTATTGAATCACACCTTATTTAAAAATCATCACCATAATGAAATTTTGGATTATATTTAATTTAAATATCTAGGGTTGGGGAGTTGTAAAAGATTACAAATACCCACAGTTTTTAGAAATTTAGGTTTTTTAATGGATTTTTATTGCAGTAATAAATATATGCATAACAGTTATTGTGATGTCATTAATAAACATTACTATTTCCTTGAAAGTCATTGCTCCTACTATAGATGTATATACAACATTATAATTTCTTGTAAGTCTTGATTTTCTTGAAGCTAAATGAAAATTGTCCTTGAGTTATACAATGACAGACTAACAGATGTTTGGTAAATTATAGTAAAATTTTTGTTTAAACTTCATTTAAAAAATGTAGTTTCATATAAACATTGTAAAATAAAATGTTTTACTTGGCTATATTATATATTATTCATATTGTTATCTCTATCTTTTTTTAAAATGCCCTGAAATGCTGTTATCTTTATCTTGGTAATATTGTAGTGATAGAGAAATAAATAATAACAAGAAGAACAAAATTTATCGATCTTTAAAAATAGATGGATAATCAGAATTGCCAGGCCATAAAGGTATATTTTCACCAACTACTCAGAAAGCTTTCACAACCTGGATATAAGCCATGAGAAGCAGAGGGGCACTTTTTGAAATGGATATCTAGATGTGTATATAAACAGATGAAAAATCAACTAGAACCAGGATTGATAAATAAATCTTGTTGATTCAACAATGCTGCAGTCATTGTAACATACTCAAAGACAAAATACAATATTTGCCCCCTTAACTGGAGACTTTGTCTTTCTATCTCGTATGTGCCAGAAATTTTACACTTGAACTCTTGAAACTTTAACATTCATCTTTCATCCTTTTGTATTATTATATTGTACTATATAAAGATTTATTTTGTATTTTACAACACTTTTTACATTTTCCTTTAAACATTACACAAGGCCAGTATACATACAAACCAAATATAACAATATATGGAGGTAACGGACATTGTCATAAGATAATCTTTACAACTCATCCATAACTGATAACCTCCTAACCATAATAATATCACATTGATTCATTGTTGTATTTACCTAGGTCATATCACAACTATTCATTGTTAAAGTTGCATAGTACTGAACCAAATTTTTCAACTGCTAATTAAAATAAATAGCTATAGAATGCTAACCCTCTTCTAGAAATGGAACCAGTTAAATGAGAGAGAATTTTAAATTCATCTAATTTGTTGTTAAAAATAAATTTCACTTGGTAGTATATTTTTCTTGCAGTTCCTTGGCAGTGCGGAGACTCAATGATAAAATGATAGGACTGGAAAGAGCATTCATTGATCCTGAAGGAATTCCTGGAAAGCCAATGTACAAGTGAGTTTGCCCATATTTACATTTAATTAAATTGACCCTTGATACCTTTCACATATTGATGTAATATTCAGTTTTAAGTTGCACATTATTATAATGATGCCAGTTTATCTTTGATATTGTTAGTATATTGCATAGGTCTTTATTTATGGGAATCACAAGCATTCATTTGATATGTAAGAAGAGAGAGGGAGATAGAATTTAAAGGAAAATACTTTTCTATGACTTTCTATAATTGTCATTTTAGTGCAATATTTATCACTGAAAAGCTTGCAACAGTTCTGCTAACATTTAACCTGCTTATTTTTACACACTGACTTTAAATATTTTGAATGTGGAATAAACTGATAATGTATGTGAAGAGTAAGAATTATTTCCTGCTATACCTCAAAATTACAAATTTACAGTTCTTAGTTTTACTATCAAACTTGGCATTTGTCATGATTTAAATTCCTTTTTATTTCTCTTTAATACAGAAGCATTTTTGTTTCTTTGTAGACATATTGTGTATGCTCCCAATGAATATGACTCCTACTCAGACGCCTTCTTTCCAGGCATTCGTGAAGCAATGTGGAAGATAGAAAATGAAAATGCTGACCTCTGGGATCTGGTAAAGCAACAAGTATCAGTTGCAACCTATACAGTGATGAGTGCTGCACAATCACTGGATGAGATTGGACTAGATTTCAACAAACACTGAATTCAATTAATGAGGAATTTCTTTAAAAGTCCACACCTTAGACAGAAAAACTACAAAACAAACAAGAGAAATATTTTGTATTGGAATTTATATCTATCTATAGAAACTTTTGGAGTTTATTTGTTCCATTTTGACTGATTTTCTTTTTCACATACAACTGCCCACCATATTGGCCAAACAGGTTGGTTGGTAATTACATAAATATAAGCAGCCACAAAACCTGTTTATCTTTCAACTAAAACATCGACAATAACAACAAAGAACCCCATGTTCAAGTGAAGACTGACAGTGTTGACAATAAGTGAGGGAAAGGCAGGTGGAAAACTCTTTATTTGATTATGCTTAAAGGTTAAGTTCTGGAATAAAGTTATGAACACACTTGACAACTACTGACTGGAAAATGAAACAATGTATTCTTACAAGCTTACATTATTAATTAAAATATAATTATGTTGTTTTTTATAATGAATAATTTGAGAATATTGACTAATAAACTATGATCTATAATTATATTTTTTAAAAATTCTTAATAATTCAATCCAAATTTTGATAAACTGATAAAAAACATTAAAAATCCCAGTGGATTATTTTAATAACAGATTTCGTTAAAGATATTTTTGTTGTTTTTTTTGTTTTTGAATAAATTTCAAAATGAGAATGTAGTTTAATTTTTGTTTTAAATAACAGTTGTTAATTAAACAATTCACTTTTACACATTTTTTTAAATTAATTATCTACCATTTTCTAAAAATGGAAATAGTAGCTATTTTTCATATTTTCATGAAACTGAAGCTGTTACAAGCTACTAACAAATTTCTTAACTTGTCAAGTTATCTTTTATGTAGTAATTTAAATAAAAAATAATTTAAATGTAACAGTTTATCGGAACATTGGATTTTTAAAGTGATTTCTAAGTAAGTTTTGCTTTATTTCAACAATTATTGATTTTCTTTCAATTATAGCTGAATCCATGGTGTGCTTCATTATGGCTGTTATATGCTTGGATAAAGATTAGGCTTATTTTGAAAAATTAAATTTTTTCATATAATACAGGCACAAAAGTAGACCCTTAAAGATATTTGAAAGTTTTTATTTTTAATACACATGAATTTTGAACATACACCAATAATATATATTATTTTTTTAATTTTAAATTTAAGGTACCAATTTAAGAAAAATAATATTCCAATTTATGAATATCCTTAATGTTTTTTTTTAAATTTATTCCATAACTTGAAAAACTTAAAAGACAATTTTTTTCAGAATTACTGATAATACAGTTTTTATCATTTTACTTTTCTTTTAGAAACCAGAAAATTTTTAAATTGGTTTTTAAATTATTTAACTATTGTTAAGCTATATCATTAAATCTTAGGTGAAAATTACAAGTATGTGAAATTCATATTATACTCATCAAAAACAGATTAGGAATGTCAAACTCAAATTCTGACAGTGTCTTTGAATGACATGCATTTGAGTGTAGAAATTGATTCAAACCACTTAGAATCTGTCTCTGTGAGCTATAGTTGATCAGAGCTATTTCATTTTATTTTACTATATCAAGCCCTTACACCTTCAGCAGGAGAGAAGGTATCTAGAGATGTATCTTCTTGATGGCCTTAAGGATGAACAAACATTTAGAGATTGTGGCTATTATGATAGTCTGAAAATTAAGTTATGCAAGCTTTAATTATCATATTGACAAACCTAGAATTAATGATATTCATGACTTTATCACCTTAATAAAATCAGAACCCATTTTTACTTCATCAAAATTTATAACTTAAAATGATATAAGTGTGGTTATTTAAGGTTTGGTTCACAAGAGAATCACTTTTTAAAAATCCATTCCTCAATACACTGAACTGCAGAAGTGACCGAAGTTAACTTGATATAGTTTACTGGTTGCTTTTCAACCAATCAGTTTTCAAAAGCCATTTGTGAATGACACTGGATTCTGTAGTAACAATGAGTTACACACACATTCAGTTTATCTAATCTATAATTAGATAAACTGAATGTGTGTGCAACTCACATTCAGTTTATAATTATAGATTCATTCTTGAAATATCTTAAGATAATTTATACCATATTCTTGAAATCAAAAAAGAGTATATTTACATTTCTCATTTCTGAGAGCAACTTATGAATTATTATTATGGCATATTAATTCCTTTATGCCAAATATTTAAGTTGTTCTATAATCCCTGGTTTTGCAGGAGGAGTTAGACTGGTGCTACACATTATCCAGAAAACTTAATTCCCTTAAGCATTTGATATTCCCAACTGTTCTTTTGTTTCCTTTTTTTAGGACTCATAATTTGGGTATAGATTTTAATGTACCCTTCCTTGAATATTCAAATAGTTTCAAGTACCCAGAATCATGGAGACAAGAATTCATTTTATAAATATTTTTATTAATAAGGTAATGAAAACGGTTTTTAATAAAATATTTTATACCAGAATAAAACTTTTATTCACTAAAAATAATATAGCTTCATTTCTTATATTTGTATCTAAAAACTGAATCAGTTACTGAATTTCAAATTTTTGATTTTGGTATGGGCTCACTTCAAAATTACAAAATTATTTTATACATTAATACTAAAGAATCCTTTTGATTATTGTGTTTTTTTTTCTAAATTATGTTTTAACAGTTGAGAAGAGAACATGGAGTTCAATTTGTTGAATTGATAGTCCAACAATTCATCAAAGTGTTTGTTCTTTAACAAATTATGTACTCCTTGTGAGAATCTTTTGCATCACTTAGTAAATTTATAAATAAAAGGGCTGATGTTTTGATTTACACAAGAAATATTTTAGTTAACTACTAGGTTGCTATAAATATAACCAAAGTTCAGTTATAAAAAGAAAAAATATCTTCAATGAGTTATAAAAAAAAATTTAATCCTGCAGATATCATATTTACTCGATCTATAAAACATATGAAAAAAAATGTATCTAAATATTATACTGCATCGAATATGCTTATTAATGGGAAATCAAGCACCAAAAATCTTGAACTGTACAAAATGAGTTGTGGTGAGTAGTAGTTAAAATACTTTTAAAACATAAAGTCTGATAAATATGATGCTATAAAAAACAGTCAACCAACAAAACAGAAGTTGAAACAAGAGTTGATGGAAAAAGAAAAAATTGAAATACCTTATAAAAATTCTGCCTGACTCTCATCTTCACTGTCTATAGTCACTAAAATGTTGGTGAAGGAACCAAACCAAAATGGAGAAAAAGCAGCAGAGAGAAGATATCAAAAATATTGCAAGAAATACTTCACTTATTTTTCAGTAGCATTTGACAATTATATCATGTTGGCTACACACAACATCAATATTATCAATTCAATATTTTTTCAATAAATATACAAAAAGTACAAAAAAAATTTTTAAATGAAAAAAGAAAAACCATGAAAATGAAAACGTTAAAACTGAAAAAAAGATAAAAATAAGTGAAAAGGTTTTTATTATTTTTTATGGTTGAATGATTTTTGATTACCTATTGTAAATTTCTGACTGTTGATGGAATCATTCCTCCCTACTTTAGTGTTTTTGGGGTTAATTGACCCAGTGATATCCCACAGTATTTTGTATTACTCCTGGTTATCTCTCTAAAGAAATGGCCAAAGTCTATGACATTCTTCTTGGAGAAAAAGAAAAACAAACTTTTATTCTTTCTACTTAAGTTTCATTATTTTTCATAAAGAAACAAATTTAGGTTAGAGAGTGTATATCCTATATATATATATATATATATATATATATATATATATATATATATAATTAAAAAAACATGCTGAAACTGATAAAAACCACAAAAGACAGAATTTACTTAAGAGACCATAAACGTGCACCTTCTGACTGTTCCTCACTGCCCGTTTATTATTAGGTACCATGAAAACATGCCCCTAGAGGTAAAGGACTGATAACCCAACACGTTGGCTCACTCAAGACAAAGGGACGCAACTCCACCTATAATAATATATATATATATATATATATATATATATATATATATTAAATATAATTCATATATATGTATATATATATATATATGAATGATATGTCTTAATGTTTTGGTGGTCGAAATCCTTTCCTCTCACTCCTTGAATGATATTCTATTCATTGTTCATAATCTAATTGAATATCAGCAGAATATTTATGTTTGATACTAAAAAGTATTAGTCTGATTTTATTTACATAACATGAAAGTAGGTAACCATTTTCTTTTTTTTTGTAAATAAAATGTTTTAATTTAATCTGTTAGATCGAGACTTTTATATGATTTTCATGGATCATGATGCCAAACCCATTTATAAATCTCTAAACTCAAGTGTATACAACTGTTTTTTTGTATTAATGGTTAAAATGGCTTTGAATGAGTGAAGACTGGGTCTTGGCAAAGATCATCCTTCTTTGAACATTGTGGATTGGCGCTACAGAATCACAAGCAAAGAACTGTACCAAATAAGAGAAATCAGCACTACCAACAGCAGCAACAACTAAAATGGATAGCACATGTAACTCTAAGAGAAAATAATGACAAAATTAAGATGATAACATTTTATACGACTTAAAATAAAAAGTTAAGAAGAAAACCCCTATCAATACTGGAAAGAGTCATAACAGCTATTGGAATTGAGAAACTTATTTTCCAGAAAAGTTGTTTTAAGAAACTGATTCTATAAATTTCAATCAAAAGTAGTACTGTTAAGTGCTAAATGTTTCCTTGAAAGGAAACACTTAATATTATCACCTCATGTCTTTTTGTCTGTCTGACTGTTATCATATAATTAAAGCATGACTTGAGCAACTAGTTTTCTGTGGTTCCTAATGTGTCTCCAGAGCAAGTTTTTTCCATATAAGCTTTTGAAAATTTTAAAACATTTTGAAGCTTTTTACAATGTCAGTATAATGTTAAACTGGATTCTTACTTGGTGTCTGTGAGGTTAGCTAAAAGAAATATTTTTTTTTAACTCTAAAGAA